CGGTCCGAGGGCCTGCTGGTGGTGGTGGTGAGCAGTGTGATGACTGGGAGAGGCCAAAGGAGCGCCTCTCTGGAACGCCGGAGGTGCGTTGTCGGGATGAGCAGTAGCGCTGTGTCCGAATACGTCGCTGATGGGAGGCAGGCGATTGTTGGTCTGGTGAGCCGGAACGTGGTGAATATGAGAACTGCTCGACAAGTGTGAAGGGTGATTGGCAACATGACGTGACAGGGGAGCGGCATGTTGATGGCCTGTGAAGCTGCGTCCCAGCGGCGCCGACTGGATCACGCGCTCGTTTGCGAAATGTTCATGAGACGGGGTCACGATGGAGAGTCCGGGGGGTGCCTTGCCTCTGCGAGACATGCCAGGTGTCTTGGCCGCGAAGCCAGGGACTCCATCTCTGTCCTTGTCCTTGTCCTTATCACTTGGTCCGTCCCCTTTCGCCGACTGTTGCTGCAGTCTCTGTTCGATAATGCTTCGCTGCTGCTCTCGCACCGACATGCTTCGCTGCAGCTGCTCCTTCATGACAGGGTCTTGGGTCACGAACCCGGGCGATAGGCAAGCAATACCAACCTCCTGGATGCCCAGATTGTCGCGAGCAGACATGGGGACTGCTGAAGCCGGATTGCTGGCCTTTGATAATGTGTTTTTCGAAAGATCCAGTTTCCTGGGTCGAGGTTTCATATTTGAAAGCGAAGGCGACCCGGGTTCTTTCTTGACCATGATCTTGTGTCGTCCCGCTTCGTTGCGTGTACTGGCAAGGAGGACGTGGTCAGCACGAATGGTCCCAAAGTCTCATTCCAGTAGACCTGTGGTGTCGGGGCGGGGCATAATGAGGCTACTCACGATCCAGGAGGAGACCTGACAGCTGCAGAGTGTCCACTTCCTCGAGGACTGCTAGCCTCTCCAATCCTCAAGGGCGCGGCGCTGGCGCTGGCGCTGTGCGAAGCCAGAGATGAAGACGCGGCAGGTACAGGTGTTCTCTGACTACTTTGGGCCCCATGGCCCAGGCTTTTTGTGCTGCCAGCGGCGTCGGAAGAAGCTATATCGGCAGACGAAAACGAAGGCCTCTCATGAGGAGCTGGAGAGGGCGCCATGGCGATTGCGGCACTCATGATGAGCAAGCTCGCTCAAGTTGGTCGAGACTGTCGTGCCAAAACCGCAGGATGCGTACGGGAAGCCAGTCTGCAGCCCTCGGGTGTAATTGTAGCAGACAGTCGAAGGTTATGATCAGCTCGTCTGGCGACTGAGCCGAAATGGCAAAAGTCTTGTTTCCGCCCGTCGGTCCAAGGTATTCGCGACACGAGCAGTATGGCGAGCCAGGCTGGGAGTGCTGGAGCGCAATCTTCAAGGTCTAGATGCAAAGGTGCAGGCGCGAGGGAGACGTCAGAGTCGCCAGGTACTAGCAAGGTACTGGTGCGATGGGGGCCGAGGAACGAGTGTGGTGAGATGGCGAGATGGCGAGATGTTGGCGGAACACTGGCGATGGAGCTCGCGCGTGGTACTGCGCACTGCAGGTAGCGAGCGAGAAACAACCGTGGTGTGCCCGAAGCCAAGAGTGGTGTGCAGGAGAGAAGGAAGGCGGGCGCCAGCGACGGCTGTAGGGCTGTAGGAGTGAAAGGAGGAGCAGTTGAGGAGTGACGAGGCGAACAGAAGCACCAAGTGAGGGCCCAGAATGCAACACGATGCACGACGAGGGAGATGCGTGGGCAGCTGGGCGGGTGGAAGGGCAGGAGCGTGGGTGGGGTGGGTGGGTGCGTGGGTCGTACCTACCTGCCCAGCACAGCGGCAGGCTGGCAGCACTTGGGCCTTGGCCGGCCTGCAGGCTCAAACACCCAAACGCACAAGCACAGGGGCGGCGGTTCGGGGCTGCCGCCAGTGGGCGAATCAAGGAGGCCGCTACCGTTCCAGAAGTGGCCGGGTATTGGTGGCTGGTGGCTGGTGGTTGGTGGGATTCCTGGCGCGAAACAGCATGGGCGGCGGTGGGCGGCGGTGGGCGGCGGTGGCTTCGCGAGGCACGAGGCATTGTACCGCGTGCGTGTGCGTGTGTGTGTATGCAGAGGCGGCAGGAAAGAAAGGGGCAAGTGTGCATGTGGCTGTGGCCTGCACCCGGCCTGCACCCGGCCTGCACCCGGCCTGCACCCGGCCTGCACCCGGACTGCAGTCGAATTAGGCACCATTGTCCGATTGCGAGCACCTCGAGCACCTCGAGCATCTCGACTCCTCGGGCACGCACGTATATACATTAGTAGGTACCCAGGTAGGTACATACCATGACGGTTGACCTGAATGTTGCTTCCTTTGAACTTCCATCCTGATTGATGATCCTGCCGTCCAGCCAGACGCCACTACCCGGGGCTAATCCAAACACGGCGCCCCTGTCAGGCTCTCACGCCCCTGGGCCCTCGCACGCCCCTCGCACGCCCCTCGCACCTCCAGTTGTGGTGCCATCAGTGGCCCATCAGTGATGACTGCCCAGTGCCCAGTGCCCAGTGCCCACTGCCCACTGCCCACTGCCCAGACTGCCCGCTGCCCGCTGCCATGTGTCGCACCAGTGACCACTGGTCCACTGGTCCACTGCCAACCAGCCCAACTCCGGATCCTCAGTTGGGTCGAGCGGCCAGTAGCCGAGGCTGACTCCAACGACTCTAACGAGAGTGTCTTTTACGAGTCTACCAATCCATCATGATAAAACCTCACAGGCCCCTCCAACCCGCGGGCCCTCAAAACCCGCAGGCCCTCCGGGCCCTCTCCACCTTTGCAACGGAGACCTGCCCATCACCGCCATCCGTCAGCAGTCATCAGTATCAACACACACAGCACACCAGAATCAGTCCCGAATAGGAAAATCACCGACTCGCGGAGTCGCGGGGCCACCTATCTCGTTCATGAGGTCACACTCGGCGCAGAACGCAATATCGTGTTCTCGTACCCAGACTTTTTCTGTGCATCGAGCTGTAGCACCGACGACTGGCTCCGGCATGGGACAGTTCCAAAACCACGCACCTGCTTTCGCTCTTTTCATACGAAGCATTGAGTGCCCATCCATTCGGATGCGTCGACCACGCCGTTGCTGGAAGCGGAGCCGAGATTTTTACAGCGTAACAGGAGAGAACCCGTTTTGATGGATTTGGCGTGCATCTTGGTCATTACATCACTGGTGACTCGTGAGCTTAATAACAAGGCCTCCCTTCTGTCACATGTCCCTTGTGCACGAGGGTCAACTCGGTCAGCCACAACGTGCCAGATCCCCTGCTCGACACCTATAACACCATATATTCAACTGCTGGGGCAAGGTTTTTTTTTTTTTTTTTTTTTTTTTTTTTTTTTTTTTTGGTAATGCTCTCGACACATTCTTCCGTCTGTTCTGCCTGGCAGTGTGAACAGATCCTCTTCCACCATCCCGTCGAGACGCCGGCGCGTTTCTTCTTCCTTTTTTTCCCATTTAATGTGTGTGGCTACCTAATGCAAGTGTTTTGCATGTTGGCCATCGCGCCCATGCAATCCCTGTTCATGCAGTCCCTGCTTCCGCCACACCGGAACGCGTTGCACGGAGCAGGTGATGGTGGTCCTGCAAGAGAAGAACATGGTCCTTCTCCCCGGCATACTCTGTATATTCTTTCAATGTGTGAAAGGAGCTTTATATATGTATAGATGTATAGATGTATATATGTATCATGTTTCTTTTTTTTTGTAATTTGCTTGCAATTTTTGCATAATTCTTTTCTGGCATGGGTGCCATATTAGGTACAGAGTGAAACAGAAGTTCACGGAGGTGGGGGGACACGCCAAGGAAAATCTCCGGGCCCAAGCGTTCTCTCATGCTGATGTGTGTAATGTGCCCAAATCACCGCAAGGGGGCCTCCCTGCCTTCCTTCCTTCCTTCCTTTATTCTTCCTTTCTTTCCTTCTTTCCCGTTCCGAGACACCCACAAAGCTGCGCAGTCGCAATCGCATCTTGGCGCTGCCCCTGCCATGCGTGGCTCTCCGGAGTCTCCACTTTCTGCCCGCCCCGCCCCGCCCCGCCCCGCCCCGCCCCTCTTTCGAAGAAGAGAAAAAAAATAAAAAAAAATAGGCCAAATTCCGTCGTCGGGTGGGCTTGCTGCACCTGAGACGTCGGCGTCTCAGGTGTCAGGTGGATGGATATGTGGCGGTGGACGGGCACGCCGGGCTGTCGAGGTGAGTAAGTGGGGCTCGTCTGTCTGCCTTTCCCGGCCACCAGTGACCACTGACCAGTGCAAAACCCACCCCGGCCCGCCTGACTTTATGGCCTTGCACATCCACAGATGGGTATGATGGAATCGGTTTTTTTTTTTTAGACTCGGAAACTGCGCCTTTTCATCAAGTGCCATTTTGCCATGACCTGTGCCGTGTCGTGTCATTTCACTGTATTCTTTGTGAGACCCGATGCGGTAATGCGGGGTCCTTGTGTATAACACTGCGACAGGAGGGTATATGTGGTTTCGGTACGAAGTATCGGTATAGTTGCGGGCCACGGTTCTGATCCGAAGCGTCGTCTGCTTATTGTCCGTCGACCAACTACGCTGTTATGGGTAGGTATGTGTTTCTTCCATGATGAGAGACGGGTCCGCGAAGAGCGGCGCGCCCATCACAACATAACGGAAACATCTGTTTGGTCACCAAATGAAAAGGGGGCCTTGTTCTTGTTTCCTTTTTTTGTGGGGCCCGTCGCGGTGTTTGGGCGATTTCGTAGGTAAACGAAGCAATTGGTTCCTGCGTGGCCGCCTACCCTGTGCTTCTGTTGCGCATGCATCGGGCACACATTGTTTAGCTTGGGCAGGGAACTAGGTTACAGACAGCGGAAAAAGAAGAAGAAAAGGCCAATAACTCCTAGGACAGATTACAGTGCAAAAGAACATTTTCTAAAGGGATTAGCCAAGCCTACTTGCAGAATGTGTAGTATACGAGAGATAAACAAAAACTTCAGGCAACCGAGATGGTGCTGGTGGGCAAAAGAGATATAGTGTTCCATAGCTTGGCTGGCGCCCGAGGGGGGTCTCGAACCCCCAACCTTGGGATTAAAAGTCCCACGCTCTAGCCAATTGAGCTACCCGGGCCAAGCCCTTGATTGGTAATCGTGCATAATAATAATCTCTATACGGCTACACTATTCAGCCCATGCACTTTCGGCTGACTTGGCTCATACCGCCGGACCCACCTTGCATTTTGTCAACCTCAAAATTTCTGGATAAGTGACCGAGGTCGAGCGCGACGCGAGGACCGTAAGCGTTTGCATTTGCCATAGCACCACTGCCGATCTTCCATCATCGTGGGACCCCCCTGGCAGACTGATACCAGAGATACAAAATCGTACAGTGTTTCATCATTGGGAGGGGCGGTCCATACGAAAGAACACAACGAAATGCCTGGCCGCACCGGAAACTTGGACGCTCAGGACATCAGTATGCAGGATGAGCCGCCGTCGGCGCAACCTGCTACTGTCGAGGATGCTGAAATGGAGGACGGCGCCGAAGAGAACGTAGAACACGGAGAGGAAGAAGAAGAAGAGATCGAGGCTCAGAGAGTAAAAATCGTACGTGCACCTTTTTTTATTCTTCCCCTTCCCCTGGCGCAGTTCAAGAAATGGGCCAGGGATCTTCTAACTGGGTTTCAGCTGCCCGGCTCAACAGACACGGCTGCCTCATTCGAGTTCATTGATGAGGGCCACACTCTCGGCAACGCCCTTCGGTATATTATCATGAAGAAGTAAAAGGGCATTCACATTTCATAAACATGTGGGACTCTATTTTGACCTCTTTGTACAGCCCAGCCGTTGAGTTTTGTGCATACGCGATTCCCCATCCCTCGGAGTCAAAGATGAATCTCCGAATTCAAACATACGGTAAGACTGCTGCGCTGACAAAAGCTTCAAGCTTTGCTCGTCTTGGATGACGCTGACTGACCTTGTTTTACTAGATGGCTCGGCAGTCGACGCTCTCAAAAAGGGGTTGCATGACTTGCAAGACGTGTGCGACGTTGTCGCTGAAAAATTCTGGACCAAGAGGCAGGCCTTTAACTCTGAGCAGGGAATTGAGCGATAATTTATGTAGAAAAGCACCATTCTGCATTCAAACGGGCATCAGCGATCGTGTCAGTGGGGCTTGTCAGTAGAATGTATGATTTTTCATATCAGTCGCGACCCCAAATGTCGGCGACATCAACACGGAACGAAGACCCCGTGGCGTTGCTTAGTGGACCGGTCTTTTTTGTTATTTTTTGTCATTTGTTTTTATCCTCTTCCAGGACCAAATGAAATATGTACATGGCCAGTCGTAGCCATTTGCCTAATTTCGGCCCTGTGGATGGTGTCAGCCACTTTGCATGTGGGAATTAGTTGCTTGGCAGTGTGATTGACGCAACAACGTACCTCCAAGAAGCCGTCCATAAAACTTGACGGCAGTCTCTTATCTCCCCTGAAGTTCTCGTCTTTGAAATAAGCCATGACATGGGTTGTTTGCTTCCAAAAATTCATCATCTCCTGTAACAAAGAAAAAAAAATTAACAATCTCATCAGAACTACATCAGAGGTTGCCTCGTTGTTACAGCTCCCCGTACCTGGTACTCGGCATGAGACTTGTGCAGAAGGACATCTACGATTTGCAGATTTCCGGCAAAGCGGTTTCCCTCGAATTCCTGGCGTACGCGGGTTCGGATGGCGGAGATCGGAAGAGGCATGTTGTACATGGTCTGAATTTCAGGAGCCTACAGGTAAAATAACTCGTATTAGCTTCTTCCTCGAACTCAGCCGCAGCGCGCCGTCACGAAAACGAGCGCATTTAAGGGCAACTTGACTATTATTCTCCGAGTGATGTGCTCGTTCACTACGCGGGAGCAGACATAGGACGTACCGCTCGAATCCATTCGCGGTACGATGAGAGGACTCGACGTTTGGCATCGGCCCAGCTGGCCGCTGCGTGGAGTGTTAGCGTCAGTCAAATTGAAGGTTGAGCGATAAAACACACATTGCACCGTCTGCTTGGCGAATTGAGTCGGCGTGATAGCCATATTTGGCAGTCAATGCTTCTCGAGCTATTGATGGCTGTACTGTGACGTTGAAACTCAGGTCCAGGCGCAATCACGAGCTCATCCATCTCCTGCATAACACTCACGTGATCAAGACACAGCACATCCGCCACACTTTACTTACGCCACACTTGAATGCGATATCCGTCTGCTTCGCCATAATCATTCGTTTCTTTCCTGCGGCGCAAACTGCTGCTTGTTCTACCATCCAACATTCTTAACGAAAGCAAGCTTGTAAAATTCTATCATACAAAATGCCTGCGATACGTCACTCTTCGAAGCGAAAGCCACCGCCAGAAGGCTTCGGCGACATTGAAAATGACCTACTCATCTTCTCCAACAAGATGAAAGATGCTCAAAACAAACCTCCTCCTCCCGGTCCAAAGCACCAAGCACAATGGGAAATATTTCAAATCTCGCATCAGAGAAGTCGCTACATATACGACCTATACTACGAGAAAGAAGCCATTAGCAAACAGCTTTACGACTGGTTGCTGAAGAATGGCTATGCTGATGCGATGCTCATCGCGAAATGGAAGAAGGAGGGCTACGAAAAGGTCAGTCTCTCCCAGCAGCAACGGGCACATTTTGGGTGAAAGAATTGCTAATGTTTCAAAAAGCTTTGCTGTCTTCGATGCGTGCAAACAAAGGAGACGAACTTCAACAGTACCTGTATATGCAGAGTCCCGCGAGCTGAACTCAAGGAGGGCCAGGAGGACCGACAGTGCGTCAGCTGTGGTTGTCGAGGGTGCGCATCCTGCGACTGAATGAAACACGAGAAAACATTTTACGAAGAATAGTGCAAAGGTATGGCGTTTTGGGCGTCCTGAAACACGTTGGATTGGAAGGCGAGGTGGATTATGTGAGCATTCTGAGAATTGTTGTGAGCTGGAACCAACGCAAGCATGAGGTAGATCTCCATCATTTGACCATAATCATCGACTTGTCTGCATCATACTGATCATCCGTCATCATTGCATAGCTTCATCAATATATAACTGTCTTTCATGACTTTGGAAACCCTGGACGACCACGGCCAAATCGAACACTGGTAGGGACAAACTGTAGAGCTGACATGGCACCTGCTAGATCCGCTATTTTCGCATCGAGGCTCTGGTTCGCTTGCTTCGTCTGCGTCTCTTCCGCGTCTGAAACCCAGGATTCTCGGCCGCAGGTGTCGTCTTTGCCTGTTGATGCAAGCTCTTTTCCTTCCATAGTCATGGCTTTGAGTCGTGGTTCCTTCTCAGGAAGAGTCGCGGAAGATCGCCGTCGATGACGAGTGCCTTCAACCAGTAAAGAACGTCGTCCATCGATACCGTCCTTTGTTACCCCAAAGAAGAAATCCCTCGGATACATGTGTTTGTCAATCATATGAAGCCGGCGCTTTTGATGAGTGAGGCACTTTCGCTCACAGCCCTCTACAAAGCAGGAATACTACCGCCAAAGTCAGTGTCTGTGCCCATGATCTGTGGAGCGTTATGGAAGACTATCTTGCTCACGGTATGCTCTCCCTTGTCTCTCTTGACCCGTACAAGAGGGTCATGGCACTCTTCGATATGCACACTGAGCAGGTGCACAGATGGGAAGTTTTTGCGGCATTCAAGGCATCGATTGGTGTGAAACATGGTGTAGTGAGATTCGTAGTCTTGGTATGACGTGAAGGCGAGTGGTTCTTCATGCGGCGGTAGCGAACATTTCATCGTTATTCTGTCGCTACCTTCGTCTCCAACGTCTGAATCTAGTAATAACGATTTGGAAGTCGGCCAATCAGAGTCCCTGCCCGCGAACCGCTCACTGTCCTCGGTATCAAAGCCATAGTCTAATCCTTGACCGGGCTCTCGTGAGCGCTTCATTCTTCAATAAGGTTTGGTGGGGAAAGATATTACTTTTGAGCGAAGCAGTCACGAAGCCACACGATAGCCAGTACCAACCAAGCTTTGAGGCGGTGTGGGGTTGAGCAAGGAACGTGCAGGGCGATAGACAGTCGACTTGGGATCCTCGAAAGAGGCTGTATTTTGCATAAGGCGCCTTGACATGGACATGAAGTCAAGCCAGCATCAGATGAAGGCTTGACAAGGGCAAAAGAGGGCTGAGTGGGGCCAAATGTCTCCAATGACAGTCTCTCCATGGCGCATTGGCGGCCATGAAGATCAGAACATTGCCATCCACGGACCACAATGCTCTTTCAGAGAGTCCGATCAAGCTACATTTCACGTGGTAACCTGATGAGTTCCGTTGAAGCTTACAATTGCCTCAATCAGGATGGGCTCGCGCGTCTACAAAGCCCGAAGTCCTCGGGTTGGGGCTCGCAGCTGTGGCCCTATAGGCTGTGGGCCTAGGAAATAATGTTGACGCCAAAGGGCACTTGGAAGTTTGGCCCACCTTCAAGCCGCAGCCGAAGAAAGCCCAGCTCTAGTGCCCACTGCCGACCCCCACCCACTGCCCAGTAAGCAATCCGGTACAGCCTTGTTGGTTCGTCACCTCGAGGGGTTCACGGCGTCGGCTCACCTTTTTGTCTCTATAGGCTCACTTGGCAATTTTGACTCCTGCAAACTCAGCAACGCCGAACTCGCTCTCAGCCTTTCCCCATCCTTCTCGTTCCCTTCTTCTTCCCATCGCTTTCGCTGTTCGCCAGAACTGCAATCTCCTCCAATGATTTCCTCCCCGGCGCAGCAAGCAGACTTCCGCGAGCCGAGCCTGGTACGAATCGTCCCTCTTCGCCTCGAACTTGGCTTACCGGTAGTCTGACAGTCGCGCAACTACTATTTCGTTGTCTAGCGATCTGCGTCTTTGATAGTATGAGGTGACAAAGACCTCATCCATCATCTTCTTTCTTCCACTACTCATCGCGAGCTCACTCGACTCGACCTGATCAACGCTATCCACACCTTGCCGTCCCATCCGGATCAAGGTCAATAATTACCGTTGACATGGCTACGACTGCATCTCAGGCCAGCCACTTCTGGCAGTAAGTTCCGGGACCCTCTGGCTCGAATTGAAAGAAACACAAAGCTGACGCTTTGGACAACCAGCC